GGAGAGGCGCTGCGGCGGGAGGGGGGGGGCGGAGGAGTGAGCCGGCGGTCGCGGGAGGTGGCGCGTGGCAGAGGCCGTGTGCGGAAGTTCCGCCCGCCCACCCAAGTATCACGCCCTCGCCCCGCCACCGCGCGCCTGTTCGAGCTGCAGGGGGCCGATGTGGGGCACGGGCGTGTTGCCGAGAGCCACGGCGCCGCCGAACGTCATCGCGACGAGGCCGGCGGTGAAGAGTAGCTGCGGGACGAGCAGCATCGCGACGAGTGTCGCCGCCACGCACAGGATGAGATAGTTCGCGCGGTAGTAGACCAGGTTGGTCAGCATCCTCTCCCGCGGGTGCTCCGGCCAGAGGAAGCGCTCCCCAAACTCGCTCCACGGCCGCTGCTCGCGAAGCACGCTGTTGACTGCCCTTCCAATCTCCTCTGCGCCGCCGTCGCCACCACCTCTGGCCGCCGTCTCTCTCCTCGCCCGCTCCTGCCGCAAGAGCTGCTCGGCGCGGTCGACGTCACCGTCGCACGCCTCGAGGGCCGCGCGGACACTCGCGACGTCGAACCCGAGCGCCGTGAGCCGGCTGACCCTAGCGGTGGAGAGCTCGGCGCCCATGTAGCAAGACCACTCTCGTGCGCGGCTGGGTTCGGATTCCTTTGCGAAGCGGGGGGGGAACTTCATCTCGTAGGAGGAGCTCATCTCCCTGCATGCAGCGTCAAATACAAATAGTGCCTGTGAGGTAGGATGAGCTCGGCGCATTTTTTTTTCAAACAATCTTCTCTCTCTAAACCTGCAAACCTCTCTCTCTCTCTAAAGGTCTAAACTCAGGACCCGTAGAGTGAGAACAGAGAAGACGTACTGCAGTGGACGCGGCACTATACAAGGTGAAGTCAGCCGGAAAGACTAGCAGGCGGTGACGGGTACTGTCCCGGCGGTCTCAGGCCCAGTGAGGTAGTGCGCCAGACCTTGGGCCAGGTACCAATTTTGTCGAATTTATTTCAAAATCTGCAGGCGCGGTGCGCCTGCGAAAATTTTGAAGAAATTTGCTGTCGGGCCTGATTTTCATCAAGATCTTTCACATTTGCGGTGTGGAGTTGGGGGGTGGGTTAGGTTAGGGTTATTAGGGTTAGCGTTTAGCGAGGGTTAGGGTTAGGGTTAGGGTTAGGGTTAGGGTTAGGGTCAGGGTTAGTCTTGTTGTGTCTGTATATGCTGCGTGGATGCGCTTTCGCCTGCCCTTTGCGATACCACGCTGATTCCAGGCATGGTGCTTTGGTGACGCACTAAACGCCAAGAGAAGGGTGGCCTGTGCCACTTGCGCCAGCTGGATGAGTACATTAGTCGCGTCCTCCTCCAGTTCGGATAGCATAATAAAATAATTCAGAAGATGTAGACCTGTAACTACACCATAGCCGGGGCCAGCACGGTGTCGAGAGGGGGGCTGTACCCGTAGAGGTTGTAAGTGTCGCCCGCCTTAGGCGGCACTCCAGAGATGTCTATTCCAGTGCAGTCGACGTTGGGATCAGCGAGTCTTGTTTCGCTCGCCTCCAGTCTTGGTCACGGCTGCCTTCGTCGCCGCCGCCAGCTTGGCCGCCAGGTCCGCCCTTGCAGCGTGCGCAGCCGCTGCCTCCTTTTCCTTGCCGCCTCCGCCGCCTCCTTTGCTGCGAATGTGTATCCCGACTGCTGCCCATCATAAGCATATCCCGATGCCGGCTGTCCGCCTTCGTAGCCCCAGTGCTTACCACCGTACCCCCACCCGGCTGGCCACCTCCGTATGCGTAGGCGCCGTGCGCCTGGCCCCCACCGGAACTGGACTGCTGCTTGTGACCCTCGTCCAGGTAAGGCCGGCAGGGAAGGTGACGGAGGAGAGGGATGAGCAGTCGGCGAAGGCGCGCCAGCCGATCGAGGTGAGGGTGGCGGGGAAGGTGACGGAGCCGAGAGAGGAGCATTTGGCGAAGGCGCTGTCGCCGATGGAAGTGAGGCCGGCGGGGAAGGTGACGGAGCTGAGGGCGGAGCAGCAGGCGAAGGCGTACTCGCCGATGGAGGTAAGGCCGGCGGGGAAGGTGATGTCGACGAGGGAGGAGCAGCCCCAGGAGGCGCCCCGGCCGATGGAGACGAGGCTGCACGGGCA